AGTCAGACAGTCAGTCAGTCAGTCAGTCAGTAGTTTTGAGTCTCTCATCCATGTATATGTATGTATATGTAAATATTCTATTTTGAGACTCGAGCTGCCTTTTGGCATGTTATGCATTTGTTGGTTGTTTTATAACCTTTCATTGCATTGAGTTGTACCGTTGAGTTAAGTTTCCGCTGAGTCAAGAAAGCCAGGCCAAGGGTTCGCTTGGGGCCAACAATGGTCTCCGAGTGCCGGTCCCGCCCAGGGTGTAGGCTCGGGGGGGTGACAGTTTCATATTTAGTTTTCATCATCTATCTTATTTTGTCTACTCTTCAACTAACTCTGGCATATATCCAAACTTGCCTCGGATCAAAAGGCTTCTTCTTTTACCATAACCGTGATATACGAATAAGATAAAATTTTATTGTAACGGATACTACCCTGCCCACTGTTTCCATATTCTTTATTTGTTGTACCAGTTGTTCTTAATGTTATATGCTATGCTTCTTAAACTTTGGATAAAGAAATACTTTCTAGATTTTAATCAACTTCTTATAATGCTTATTTGTTCTGATTTTTAATTTTATGGCTAAAGCAGAGAGTAAAAATATAGGAAGATCTCCTCAAATTGTAACAGACAATTTAGGCAATTTTATGCCATAATTAAAGCCTTTAATTTGTGTAATATAGCTAGCTGATTTTCAAACTTGCTAACGTTAGACTGTTTGTTTCTTCCTCTCTCTTTTTAATATTCTTTTTAGAGGAGAGACACGCGTAAAAAAAAGGGGTAGAGAGGACATACTCAAGATTGCATGCATGCCACTTGTTTCTATTTTTTCTTTAAAGTTCCAAAAGAAAACCAGAAATGCCGTGTCGATCACCATTACCATGAATTGATCAATCGATCTTTCATCTTTGATAGACAAACAGCTAGCTTTGCAAATATATACATGTAAAAAAAATGCATATATGATCCATAGCTAATTAAAGACGGACATAGAGACAGAGGCGGAGCCAGTATTAGGTGTTTGGGAGTTCTAAATTTCCTTCTCCTTACTTACCATTGAATTGTCAATCAGTTTTGCTAGGGGTTCACAAGTTATTACTTAATTTTCTAGTACAAATATAGGGTCTACAAAAAAGCTACTAGGTTGGTCCGAACCCACGAACCCCCACCTGGCTCCGCCCTGCATAGAACAAGCCAAGAAAAGTACACAAGCTGCAGCTCTCCATTTTTATTATCTTCCAAGGCTCAGCAGAGCTAAAGAAGAAGATGAAAAATTCAGAGGAATTAATGAAAATTATTAGCTAGCAGCCCAAATTACACTCCTAAAAAAACTGTGTGCACTTCATCAGTATATACAAAGCTTCGTGAATATTCAACAACAATGCGGACATGCCCAGTATACATAATTCCATAAATAGAATCTGGAAGTGTGATGTGTACATAGCCTTTCCCCTTCCTTGTGAGATAGATTTTAATAGAAACGCTCAGATTTAGTAAGCTTTTCAAATATAAAAATTCATGAACATTCCAACCATACATATATATAGAGAAATCATTGTGCAATGCATTTGTAAAAGTAAAAGAGAAGATAGGTAGCATACCAGAGGAAGGGAATGTGCAGGGGTTAGTTGTGGAGATTTGCGATAGCTATGAAATCCTCCATTTCCTGAACCACCAACATGATTACCATTATCCATCTCACTCTCTCTACAAAAGTATTTCTCTCCCCCTCTCTCTCTCCGTATAGTATGTCGCTATTGGAAAGTTATAAGTGCCCATATATATAGCTACAAATTTTAAGAGAAAGGGGGGACACGTGGCACCAGGGCGGAGTGATGAAAATAAGCCCAAATTTTTAAGCTTATACGCGGTTAATATGATGAAAATAATTGATAAATCAACAAAATATATGCCAAAATCAGTTTACTCATAACATAAGGATCTTAATTATAAACTTTTCATCAAAAACTGAATCAAAATCAATAAAACCCCAATTCTTCCCTAAGAAACTCACAGAGAAGGAAAGAAAATAAGATGAAGAAATAATGAGAGAATGCTAAAATGAGGATCGGATACTAACTCTCATTAAATCGAGAAAAATGCCACAAGAATCACTTCATTCTAAGCTCTAGAACTCCAATATGCTCAAAATACCAAATAAAGATAGTCTGAAATCTTAAATACATGTGCAGCAGAATTTACATCAGAAATCAACAACTTTGATTTCACTAAAAGGGTCGTAACTTCCTTATACGATAGAGAAATGCCCCGATTCTTTTTCATATATGTCTTAAATAATGATACAGACCTACTTATTTAATTGAAACTCAATTTCGTTTTTATTTACCTAGTCAAACATTATTTTTGTTCGATAAACAATTATTTCATATTTCGCGATAAAAGTCCAATCTCAACTTAGCGAAAATACACCAAACTTTACCGAGCAGTCCTATAATTCATGCTCTAACTTTTAGAAGCTTTGAAATAATTTATTTAATCTTTAAAACTAATAATGAACCTTTAAGTTGACACAATTTGATGAAACAGCGTCAAAACACCCAAAAAGCTTTAAAAGTCATCCAAAACTCATCTTTAACCTCCCGAACACAAATAAAATAGGAAAAATGCATAAGTAACCCCCCCCCCCCAGCCTATGCCCAAAATCCCTGAGACACACCTAACATTTACTAAGGTCCTACTTACCCCCCCCCCGAACTTATTTTTTAATTAATTTTCTACCCCTTTTCGGCCTACGTGCCACTATCCTTGAAAAAATTGTCAACACCACAAGATAGTGCCACGTAGGCCGAAAAGGGATAGAAAATTATATATAAAATAAGCTCGGGGGTAATAGGACCTTAGTAAATGTTAGGTGTGTCTCAAGGATTTTGGGCATAGGCTAGGGAGGTACTTATGCATTTTCCCAATAAAATATGCTACAAACTTGGAAATGATATTTTGGATTCAATCAAATCATCAGAACACTGAAACAAGGTTACCTTAACCCGATATTTGTCCAAAGTCAACTTTAACTTAACAAGCTTTAAATTTCCAAATAAGGACATAAAACTCATCCAAAAGTTTCGGGAATAAAATCAAACTTTCAACCATAACAAATACCACCCTTCTGACCTAGTGGAATCATCAAAACTCAAAAATGACCTTTCTAACTTCAAATGTTGACTAAAGTAAAACTATAACCTTAATTTTTTCCTGCATCTCGTCTAATGGGTCAAAATCAAACCAAAAGTCTTGGGACCCAAACAAACAGTATATCTAGACCAAAAACAATATTTCAAAGTTAACAAAACTGTCGGAATTTCATTACAAGCTTGCTATCACCAAATGTTGACTTTGGTTAACTATCCAATGCTTTCAACTTTCAAACACAAAAACTCTTTGAAAACTCATCTAAATACCTCAGGACCTGAGCCAATAGTCCTACTAACCCAAATGCCATGCTCTGGAGCTGATGGAACTGATGAAATTCCATTTTGATACTTAGAACACCAAATATTGACTAAAGTCAACCATTTCAACTTTAAAACCTTCAAAACCAAATCTTTTTCAAAACTCCCAACTTTTCACCCAAGTTCCCAAACCAACAATACCACTGGACCAAAAATAATTTCAGAAAGGGTAAAATGATAATTTTCAAGAAGATTCCAAAAATGACCTTTAGAGTAATTATACTTCTAGCACAATGCAAGTGGAAAATCTTCCATAGGTGAAGAAGACAGGGTGTATTAGCTTAAAAAAGCTTTCTATGGTCTTAAACAAACTGCAAGAGCTTGGTATAGTAGGCTAGATATTTATCTTGTTTGTCTCAAGGCTTCGATGGAAGCCTAAATGAGCCTACTTTGTACTTCAAAAGGAAAGCTGATGCAATGTGGATTGTGATAGACGATTTGATGACCACAGGTGAAAATCCTCATGCAGTTCAGAAAGTTAAAAATGAAATGCTAAAAGCTTTTGAGATGTGTGATCTACGAGAGAAGAATTTTTTTTCCTGGGAATGGAGATTTCTCAATTTTGTGAAGGAATTTTCTTTTTCCAAAAGAGGTATGCCTTGAACTGTTGAAAAAAGTTCAAACTTGACAAGTGCAAACCTGTTGCGACTCCACTTGTTGTGAATAAAAAATTGATGAAGGATGATGGCGAAGAGAGGGTATATCCAATACTTCATAGAAGTCTTATTGGAAGCTCGTTGTATCTGGATGCTTCTAGGCTAGTGTCATGCCCCGAGCCTATACCCTGGGGGGGACCGGCACTTGGAACCATTGTTGGCCCCAAGCGAACCCTTGGCCTGGCTTTCTTAACTCAGCGGAAACTTAACTCAACAGCACAACTCAATGTAATGAAAGGTTATAAAACAACAAACTGATACATAACTTGCTAAAAGGCAACTCGAGTCTCAAAATAGAATATTTACATATATACATAGATGAGAGACTCAATACTAACTAACTGATTGTCTATGAAGCCTCTACAATACTGGGATGGATGTTGGGACAGACCCCACAACACCCTAATTAAAACAAAACTAAAAGGATCGAAACAACTGAGTCCTCCAGAAAGCAAAGAGGCTCACCACTGACTCTAGAGTGCTCAACTGGATCAATGCTAACCCTGGGTACCTATGTCTGCATCGTCATAAGATGCAGGCCAACTGGCATCAGTACATCGAATGTACGAGTATGCGAGCTGAAAAGCTAAACCACAACTTAAGCTTAAAAGGAGTACAAGAGAACACTTACCTTGGCTCTGTTCAACTCATGAATAACTGAACTCATTATATAAAGCAATAAGACACATGCAATATATAAAGCTTGTAAAACTCTTAAAACATGACGTAAAAATCATATTTATAATATCATGAAAATACCATGCTTCCTCTCAAGGTCTACTTGTGCAATGTATGAATGAAGTCCCATACCCTCATCCACACTAAGAAGAACCCTCGAGGAACCATGCAATTTCTACTGTGAGAGTTTCTCTAACCGAAAAACCACCACTATGAATCTGAGTGGTGATACAGCGTTTTACCTCACGTTGCTCTAGGACCATCCTATACCTTGCCATGATATAGGAAGCTAACTTTACTAAGTGGATCCACTAGCTTAACTTTACGGGTTCATCTAAAAAGTATGACCCGTTAACTCCCATGTTGGCTACATGGTTCTTATGGAGAGTTGAGTTTAATATGAACTCGCGTCCCCAAATCGGTGCTCGATACTACTCCCAAAATGCTTTTGACTCATAAGCGTTTTAAACACATCTTTCTTTAAATGAGATAATTACTCAAAATCTAGCCCAAAGGCTCACTTGGAAACGATGTTCCTTTTCATGAAAACTAGCCCTAAGGCTCTTTTAGAATCATAGTTCCTTCCTTACTCAAATGTAAAAACATTCTAAAATCTTTGCTTGACTTGAAACTTGAGTCTTAAAATGAAGTTAAACATTCAATAAAGACTCTTGAACAACTTTGTAAGACTTGCTTGACTTACTTCTTAACTTTGCTTGACTTGGAAACTAACTCTCCTTGAATTGGATTTATGGATTCAAGGTGTTTGATCACATGTTACGGATGAGTTCTTGACTTTTAGAAGTACCTTGGAGTGTTGGAAACAACTAGGAAACATAGGTACAATACCTAGGAACATGCATGAAAGAGTGGGGAATGAAAGGGGTAGGTTGGAGTCTTTGGAACTCTGCAAGGCGCGGAGCGCCAGCCCTTGAAGTTTAGAGGGGTCTTGATGGCGCTCTGCTAGGCGCGGCGCGCCAAGGGGGAAATTTCAGAACCCCTTTTGGGGGGCGCTGGCAGGCGCGACGCGCCAACCCCTCGCCTAGAAAACTTGACTTTTTCTCCCCTTTTCTCCAACTCTAAACCTTCTAAACTTCAATGGTTTCAACCCCAAGCACTAAGGATCATAAATCCCTCAACATACAAGAGATTTAACTCAAAACCACAACCCAAAAACATGCCCAAAACAACAAGGGACTTCAACAAACATAAATCCACAACATCAACAACACAACCAATAACTTCAACCACACAACCAATCTTTTCTTGAAAAATAAAAGGAGTGTGGTGTGTGGGGGGAAATATCAACTCAACACTATGAACTCACATACCTATTAGGGATCACCCCCGACGATATCCACGACGATCCTTGACGGGAACTCCTTGCTTGATCTTCTCTTTCTCCTCTTCTTCTCCTCTTCACTCTCAAGCCCTAGCTCTCACTCTTTTAAAATGGGACAAAAATGATCCAAAATAAGCCTAACACAACAATATAACTCCAAAAGAAATGGCTAGGGAAAAGACCAAAATGCCCTTAAAATTTCCGGACGGATTCCCTGCCAACTGCCCAACTTTCAAAGGGCATAACTCACTCATACGAACTCGGAATCAAGAAAACTCGGTGGCGTTGGAAAGATGATTCCACGAGCTTTGCAACCATAACTGTAACTACACCTAACTCATCCTGAGAGAGTAGTTATGACTGCTCAAAGTTGGCCAAAAACTCACCTTTTTCCATACTTGGCCAAATTTCCAGATTTTTAGGTCTTTCCAAAAATGACTATTTCCAATTCTAAGCCTCTTCATAATTATTTCAAATCGCCGGATGTTACAGCTAGACATAATGTTTGATGTCAATTTCTTATTTGGATATATGAAAAGTCCCAACACTAAGCATTTTGGAGCCGTTAAAAGGGTGTTAAGGTACATTAGAGGGAGAATTGATTATAGAATTCAGTATAGAAGTGTCAAGAATGGAGATCTTCTTGGATACTCAGATAGTTAATGGAGTGGATGTTCAGATGATTACAAAAGCACATCCCGTTACTCATTAATGTTTGGTTCAAAATTTTCATGGAGAACAAATAAACAAGATATTGTAGCTCAATCTTCAGCAGAAGCCGAGTATGTGGCTGCTTGATATGCTACAAATCAAGGAATTTGGTTGAGAGAGCTCTTGTTTGAATGACTCAAACCCGAACATACGAAAAATTAAGAAGGCAAATTTGTATTGGTTACCAAACAGAGGTTTAAGAACAAGATGTTGAATGACATTCCTATAGAGGAAATATATCAGGTGGTCAATATTTGGTCATGTTCCCATATTAGGAATGTCAAGGGTAAACTTGGTAATTGGTCCTGTAAGAAGAGCAATGAGGTGACAGAGAGTGATAGATAAACCAATTGAATGAAGGGGATATCAAGTCCTCCGTTGTTTTCCAAAGTGTTTGATGAAACTTGAGGCGTGGAAGTCTGCACCACTTATATCTCCATTCTTTCTATACGATGCTTGTCCTCACAATATCACATAAAGGCAACCTCATTAGAATGCCATCGATTACACTATCGAAAAGGTTGCTACGTACATCTGGGGAGGTAAAAGTTGTTTTTTTTTTCATTTGAAGGCATAAATTAAATGATTTTTTTAAAGTAATTCCGCTAGGTAAGGTGTGCCCAAGGCTAGTTTTATTAATAAAGAGAAAAGGATCTCAAAGAGAAGAGTACAAGCAAGGGGGGCTAGGCCTTACCTTACTAATCCTAAGGAGGTAACGAACCTCTACTAATCAACAAGCATGAAGGAATATAACTACCAGAATATTCAAGAAGTGAAACAGAGGGTGGATATGACCAATTTTTTCATAGCACAAGGGCAAATATACATACAAATACACAAACACATACACACTTAAGTAAACAGCCAATTGAAGGGGCCACCATTTGGCTCACTTAGTTCGAAAGACACGTTCCTAAACTTTGCAAATTAAGAATTATCCTAGATTAGGTAACATAGAAAAGATAGTCTGATTTCTTCATTGCTCATGAAGCTTCAATAACAACTTAACACCTTTAGTGGAGAAATTGATCACTCCTTACCCCCCTCCGAAGGAAACTCAACATCATTATCCATTGCACACTGAGAAGTGCTTCCATTTGATGCATCCCCCTGCATATCACCATTTCCCATTGGTGGTGGATACCCCAAGTGGTGATGAGCCATAGGAAAATTAGGAGGCTGGTGATAGGGCGTGATGTTGCAGTTTGAAGCTGTATCAACCATTGGACGCTTCAACAAAGACTCTCCTATCAGGGATCCACACTCACCACCATCATCCTCATGATAACGAGGCAAGTACAAAGGCAAGGGTTCAATGTAGTCATCAAAACCAAACTTGCTAGTGACCCAATGCACGTCTTCATCAGTGATGGTGTTCCGCTGCTCACGCTGGCAACGAGCATTGGCTTCGTATGTTACGAAGCATATGAACTCAGAGATACAGTCGTGCATGGTCCATTTTGCATCATCGGATATCTTGATATGGGGAGGAAAGGTTCTATGCATGATTCTGGCCACGTTTGGCATGAATTGGTCTTGCTCCTGAATAATGCCTTCAACAACTGCCTGGTTGAGATGAGAAGGCAGTTCCAAGATCATCTCCATATCTTAATTTCACACAACAAAAAAACATCAGAGTGAAATGAAAAAGAAATATTTTCCATATTATCAAATTACTCGTCTAATTTCATCACAACTAGCTACACTTTTATTGTCTAGTTAAACATTATTAAGTCACATTTGCTATAACCTACCCAAGTATTGAACAAATTACAAAGCTAATGGCACACAAATATATATGTCACTAATTATTAGCTGGATATGAGTCGTACTGTAAGCGGCACTATGAATTTTGGACAATATTCATGCGAACACCAAAAGCACATATTATTTGATCAGTGTGAATACAGACTTAACATAAAACACTTCATATTTTGTCTACTCTTCAACTAACTCTCTCATATATCCAAACTTGCCTCGGATCAAAAGGCTTTTTCTTTTACCATAACCGTGATATAGGATTAAGATAAAATTTTATTGACGGATACTACCCTGCCCACTGTTTTCATATACTTTTTTTGTAGTACCAGTTGTTCTTAATGTTATATGCTATGCTTCTTAAACTTTGGATAAAGAATCACTTGCTAGATTTTAATTGACTTCTTAAAATGCTTATTTGTTCTGATTTTTAATTTTATGGCAAAAGCAGAGAGCAAAAATATAAATTAACTCAAGTAAATTAGCTGACACTTATATATAAAAATATAGGAAATCTCCTCAAATTGTAACGGACACTTTAGGCAATTTTTATGCCATAATTAAAGCCTTTAATTTGTGTAATATAGCTAGCTGATTTTCAAACTTGCTAACGTTAGACGGTTTGTTTCTTCCTCTCTCTTTTTAATATTCTTTTTAGAGGAGACACACGCGTAAAAAAAGGGTAGAGAGGACATACACAAGATTGCATGCATGCCACTTGTTTCCATTTTTTCTTTAAAGTTCCAAAAGAAAACCAGAAATGCCGTGTCGATCACCATTACCATGAATTAATCTTTCATCTTTGATAAACAAACAGCTAGCTTTGCAAATATATACATGGAAAAAAAATGCATATATGGTCCCTAGCTAATTAAAGACGGACATAGAGCAAGCCAAGAAATGTACACAAGTTGAAGGTCTCCGTTTTTATTATCTTCCAAGGCTCAACAGAGCTAAAGAAGAAAATGAAAAATTCAGAGGAATTAATGAAAATTATTAGCTAGCAGCCCAAATTAACTGTGTGCACAAAGCTTCACGAATATTCAACAACAACGAGGACATGCCCAGTAGTCAGTATATATAATTCCATAAATAGAATCTGAAAGTGCGATGTGTACATAGCCTTTCCCCTACCTTGTGAGATAGATTTTAATAGAAACGCTCGGCTGTATTAAGCATATCAAATATAAAAATTCATCAACATTCCAACCATACATATATATATAGAGAGAAATCACTGTGCATACATTTGTAAAAGTAAAAGAGAAGATAGGTAGCATACCAGAGGAAGGGGAATGTGCAGGATTTGGTTGTGGAGATCTGCGATAGCTATGAAATCCTCCATTTCCTGAACCACCAACATGATTACCATTATCCATCTCACTCTCTCTCTACAAATATCTCCCTCTCTCTCTATGTGTATAGTATGTGGCTATTGCCAGCTAATAAGTGCCCATATATATAGCTACAAAATTTAAGAGAAAGGGGGGACACGTGGCACCTAGGCAGATTGAACGAGAAGAAGGTATTCACTAGGATAAATATGATTTCGCTGTTGGGAAAATGAGCATTGACAGGAAACGACATAACTATATACTACTACTTCCTTTGTCCAAAATAATTATCTCTTTAGTTCATTTCATGCCCGTCAAGGATAATAATAAATTGAAGTATAGTTTACTAAGTTAGCTCTATTTGTTAGATGTTTTTGATGATTGAAAAAGCATACTAATTTTGGTCTAGAATTCCTACAAAGACACTTGTTTTGGAACAATGTTTTTTGCTCAAGTGGCACTTATTTTTTGGGGTAAAAGGAGTATTAGCATTTAAAAAATGAGTATGCATTTTTCGACTATACTCTTATATTAAAGAGCTACTACTTTTTAATAGTGCTCAATTATAAAAAAAAAAATCTAATAAATAGAGGCAACTTAGTAAACTATACCTTCAATTTATTATTTTCCTTAATGGGCATGAAATGAGCTAAAGTGATACTTATTTTGGGACAAAAAAACTAGTAGTATATAGTTATTTCGTTTCCGGTCAATACTCATTTTCCCAATCATATCTATCCCGGTGAATAACTTCTCTTCATTCACTCCACCCTGTGCCACGTGTCCCCCCTTGCTCTTAAATTTTGTACCAATATATATGGGCACTTATTACTTGTCAAGAACCACATACTATATATATATGTGTATGTATGGAGAGATAAAGAGATATATTTGTAGAGAGAGTGAGATGGATAATCGTAAACATAGGAGGACATACACCCAAGAAGCTGGTGGATGTCATGTTATTGTTGCTCAGCTCACTCACCTTAGAAGAACTGAAGGAAAAACTTATGTCTTTGCCATCACAGATCCCTCAAGAAGAAGGGCTCTTGATACTACTATTATATTTGGAACTCTTGAGAAAAAGATAAGGTTCAGCACAATTTCTTTTTGTCATTCATATGGCATATTACAAAAGACTTAAGACACATATCATCATATATTATTAAAACTGGAAAGCTCCTAACCTCAGTTAGATTACCATTTGTTATACCCCATATTAACCAGGTCAAAATAGTGTACAACATATTAGTGATTCCTAAATTAATTAACTAACTAAATGAGTCGCCACCTAATTATTTATGGTGAATTAAGACACCTAAAATGGATAAAAGACGTTTAAAGTTAACTTCATTTTAAGGTCTACTAAACATAAAATTCTAGGTAAGGGTTCAACTAATCTAAAGGAAAGGTATTAAGCATCCTTTAAGATCCATTAAAAATGGTTAACCGACCGAACTTAATTAATTAATTAGGCTAAGTGTCAAAAAATGTGAAAGCTAAATCTCAAGGAACTTTAAAATCATTGATTGAAAAACACTTCTTTATGAAAAATTGTCTTGTTGAAAACGTGTGGAAGTAAAATATTTTGTAAACATTAAACTAGTTTATTGGATAACAAATGATGACTTGAATCCATTTAAATTTAATAAGAGAAGGAATTTTATCAAAATTTGAAGCATTGGAAGTAGTAAAAGAAGATCTAGTGAACTTAACTAAATTTAGAGGGAAAAATTTAAGACTTGAATAAATTCAAGAACTTAAAAGTTAAAGAATAATTTTTATAATAAAATCTGTAAATCTAAACTAAAAAAAGAGTTGGGCAGTAAACGTTGTGGTTTATTTTTGACAAAAGTATACGAAAGGAAAGTGAGTAACTACAAGAAAATTTTAATGAGGAACTTAACTATGTTGGTTTCTTAAGTTCAAAAAAATAAAGGCTTTCTTTTATGCGATAAAACGAAGTATTCGTAGTTACTGTATGAGGTCAAAGAAAATTTGTATATATCAGGGAACACACAATAGAGATAAAAACATTAATCACATCAACACAATTAAATAACTGAGAAAAATGAGGTAATTAATAGTTGTGCTCGACTTTTATAGAAGGCATAATACATAAATGTACCCTTTAACTTGATCTCATTTCACATTTATACCCTTCAACTTTGGATGTGCACACATGGACCTTTAAACTTGTATAAAATTATACAAATAGACACACACCTCCTACATGTTTTATGCCACGTAGGACACATGTGTTTACTTGTTCAACTTTACACAAGTTTAAGTGCCTACTTGTGCACACTTAAAGTTGGAGGGCATAAATGTGAAATAAAGCCAAGTTAAAGGGCACATTTATGTATTATGCCTTTATAGAATGAAAGAATCACATCTGTTATTTCGACTGAACAACGTGAAGGCAGAAAAAGGATACGTATGTGCGGACTCCATGTACAAGATATGCAAGCTTCATGCAACAATGTATTGTTGAATCCCATGGGACTCTTCCGCTCTAACGTTCGTGCAAAACAGAGAAAAGAGAAGGGAATGAAAGTTACGAAAAAAACATATTCTCAAACAGTTACTAAAGGTGAAAAACAGAGCAAGTCATACAAAAACTTGATTCATAAAAAGACTAACATATACATAAATACAAAGTAATTTCGAAACGGGGTTTTTAAGTAATTCATTTTAACAAACATAGTTTTATAAATATATATACATTAATGAATGCTAAGTGAAATTTAATAAAAGAAGACCTTTCCGTGAAAGTGGAAAGATAAGTTTTCAATTTTTTTACTACTAAACTAAGTACGAATATATTCCTAACGTATGTATTTTCTAGTACTAAACTTAGTCAGTGATAGACCAAGATTTCTTGGCTGACACGTAAGCATATGAGAACATACAGTAGACCGTTCAAATTGAAAAATTAATCAAAATTTATAGCGTGATATATACATTAATCATAATTTCTAACAACAAAATAATCATCGACAATGAATGAATAAGAATAAGTTCAGATTTTCACCTTTTGTGGGATAGTGAACTGAAGGCGTTGTCAATCTCAAATCTAGAACTCGCTATTTCACAAAAAACAAGAAAAGATGAACAACCTTTGCTAAAGCCTAAACATGTATGAAATTATTCAAAAGCTAGGCAGCTATGACTTCTTCTTTTTTTGTGTTCTTGTGAGTGTTCCAGCCTGTGAGAAAGATGAAAAATGTTCAAATATTTAAAAGGTGTCTCTGGCTAAAAGTTTAGTATAGACGAATCTTAGGGTTGGTTTTTTGAGCGGGATTTCACCTTGATTTTGAATTCGTAGTCCTTCATGCAATTTTACGTTGGTCTGAAGCAGTATCAAGAGTCCTTCACGCGTCCATATTTCGTGACAACACGAGTGATGTTAAAATTAGTCAAAATGGTATATTTATTGTGGATTCAGATAGTTTCGTGGGGTAATAGGACACCCAAAAAGTTAAAGTGTCTTTTTAAAAATTCGAGACAACTTCAGTGGTGATTTTATGTCTTTTCTCTATTTTAATAGTCATCATAATCACTCTAAGCTTCTAACCTTCCATTATTTAAGATGAGAAGCCCGAAATTCAATATCATAATTATTCAAATCTTTCATAATTTTAATAATTTTGAAAGAATAATTTAGAGTCACTATACATATTAGTATAAATATCTGTCGTGTTTCTTTTTACTTTCACTAACGTCTCAGTTGTATTTCAAATTTCATTGTTTTTATTAATGATTATTTTTTGTGCTTATGAGTTATAATTTTCTTTGACAACATAATCTTCATAATCTCTTCTTCCCCATCATCTTCAGTTTCATGTTCTTGATGAAACATAATAAATGGTACCTCATTCATTCATATTTTTAGATTTCATGGTTGTACTAGCAACTATATAATATTTTTATATGCGGCATTGTATTTCCATTTTATGCTATGCGATATTTACTATACAATCATCCCCCTTTTTTAATTTCTAATTTTTTTAGTTATATATGCAAACACTTATATATATCCGAGTAGATATTTATCTTTAAATTAAAGTACTATATATGTCAGTAAAGTAGAGCATCAAGCTTGTAAGATTTTACACTTAACTTACAAGTGTTACTTTTTTCTCTATACGATTGTTTTGTTTTGTATTTATAGCACAAAGAAAGTCCAATAATATATGCACCATTTAAAATTTGTCATTTGCATTATAAAATTTGTATTAAATATTTTAAAATAAACATGCAACGCACGTTCCCAAAACTAGCTAGTAGTTATATAAGCTTTTCATAAGTTAGTAGAGACCTTACCTATCCAACCACTATTGACTTTCTTACAAAACATATTCCATAAAGTAAGGACTACCTTTCCATTACAACTAAACATAATATTTCAGAAGGAACCATTAAACAAAAGACTATCTAGAAATATCTCATTTTCAAACAAAAGTTGTACCTTTTGATGAAAAACAACTCCTCATTTCAGAGGACCATACTAGGGCAAAAATTTATAGACCCCTCAATTCATGTTGAAGTAACTATCTAAATTTGTATATAAAATACTTCTGAGAGAAATCTATGTGCTAGAAGTAAGAAATCTAGTGATCTGTGCAAGTCTATTATTTTTGAATTACCAACTGACACGCTAAATAGAATACTAGATCTCATGCCCGACAAATATGCTGCAAGAGTTAGCATCTTATCAAAAAATTGGACTCAGTTATGGTCTACACAACCTAACCTTGTGTTTGATCCCCTGATTTTTCAGTATGTATCTTATATCCCCTGATTTTTCATATGCTTTGTAATATGAGAAGCAAACGTAAGCAACGGAACACCATCACCATTGAAGACGTGCATTGGGTCATGAGCAAGTTTCGTTTTGATGACTACACTGAACCCTTGACTTTGTACTTGCATCATTATCGTGAGGATGATGGTGGTGAGCATGGATCCCTGAGAGAGAAGTATTTTTTGAAGCGTCCAATGGTTGATGCCGATTTAGGATGCAACATCATGCCCTATCACCTGCCTCCTAATTTTCCTATGGCTCATCACCACTTTGTGTATCCACCACCAATGGAAAATGGTAACATGCATGGGGATGCATCAAATGGAAGCACTTCTCAATATGCTGTGGATAGTGATGTTGAGTTTCCTGCGGAGGGGGTTAAGGAGTGATCAATTTCTCTACTGAAGGAATTAAGTTGTTGTTGAAACTTCAAGAGCAATAAAGAAACTAGACTATTTTTTCTATGTTGCCTAATGTAGGATAGTTCTTAATTTGTGAAGTTTAGGAATGTGTCTTTCGAACTAAGTGAGACAATTAGTGGCCCCTTCAATTGGATGGTTACTTATGTGTGTATGTTTATGTGTGTGTGATGGAAGTGATCAACCACTTGATGCTTGTTCAAGTGGTTGAGCACTTCCACCACACACACATACACATACATATACATACATAAACAAACAGACAATTGGACGGACCACACTTTGGCTCACTCAGTTTGAAAGACACATTCCTAAACTTTGCAATTAAGAACTATACTAGATTAGGTAACATAGAAAAGATAACCTACTTTCTTCACTACTCTTAAAGTTTCAACAACGGGTTAATTCCTTCAATAGAGAAATTGATCACTCCTTACCGTCCTCCGTAGGAGACTCAACATCACTATCCATTACACACTGAGAAGTGCTTCCATTTGATGCACCCCCCTAAATATCACCATTTCCCATTGGTGGTGGATACACAAAGTGGTGATGAGCCATAGGAAAATTATGAGGTAGGTGATAGGGCGTGATGTTGAAGCCTGAAGCTGCATCAACCATTGGACGCTTCAACAAAGACTTCTCTATCAGGGATCCACGCTCACCACCACCATCCTCACGATAACGAGGCAAGTACAAAGGCAAGGGTTCAATGTAGTCATCAAAACCAAACTTGCTAATGACCCAATGGACGTCTTCAACGATGATGGTGTTCCACTGTTCACGTTAGCAACGAGCGTTGGCTTCACATGTTATTAAGCATATGAACACAGAGATACATTCGTGCATAGTCCGTTTGGTGTCATCAGATATCTTGGCATGTGGAGGAAGGGTCCTATGCGTGATTCTACCCACGTCTGGCATGAATCGGTCTTGCTCCTCAATGATGCATCCTACAACTGCCTGGTTGAGATGTGCATATTTCATTACCTATTTAACCACTATTGACTTTCTTACAAAACATATTCCATAAAACAAGGACTACATTTCCAAACTAAACATAATATTTAAAAAGAAACAACTAAACAAATGACTATCTAGAAATATCTCATTTTCTAACACTCTACGAGATTTTTCTTGGATACTGCCAACTTAGCCCTTAGAACTTCAAATTTCCTCTTAAGAAGAGCCTTGGTCATGATGTTTGCAATCTGCTGATCTGAGCTGCAATGAACAAGTTTAACTTCGCCATCATTCTGTACCTGATAGCATGAAACTTCACACTTATATGCTTGCTACGACCATGTTGCACTGGATTTTTGGCCATAGATATTGTTGACTTGTTGTCAACCTTAATGACAGTAGCTTCAATGTCATTTTGCTCCAGATCACGTAGAATCATTCTTAACTATAATATTTAAAAATTAGTGTTTTTTTTTTACTATACTCTTATATTAAATAGCTACTACTTTTTAATAGTGCTCAATTATCAAAAACATCCAATAAATAGAGGCAACTTAGTAAACTATACCGTCAAATTATTATTTTCTTTAATGGGCATGAAATGAGCTAAAGTGATACCTATTTTGGGATAAAGTAAGTAGTAGTATATAGTTATGTCGTTTCCGGTCAATACTCATTTTCCCAACTGTGAAATCATATCTATCCCCGTGCATACCTTCTTCTCATTCAATCCACCCTAGTCCCACGTGTCCCCCAGCTCTTAAATTTTGTAGCAATATATATGGACACTTATTACTTGACAAGAACCACATACTATACATAGAAGTGTGATGTGTATAGTATGTGGCTCTTGGAAAGTAATAAGTTCCCATATATATAGCTACAAAAATTAAGAGAAGGGGGGACATGTGGCACCAGGGCGGAGTGAACAAGAAGAAGGTATTCACCGGGATAAATATGATTTCACAGTTGGAAAAATGAGCATTGACTAGAAACAACATAACTATATACTACTACTTCTTCCGTTCCAAAATAAGTATCATTTTAGCTCATTTCATACCCATTAAGGAAAATAATAAATTGAAGGGGTAGTTCACTAAGCTACCACTATTTATTAGATGTTTTTTTTTTAATAATTGAGCGCTATTAAGAAGTAGTATTTCTTTAATACAAGAGTATAGTTGAAAAAACATACTAATTTTTGTCCCGAATTCATATGATGACACTTGTTTTGGGACAAAAAAAATTTTGGCTAAACTCTAAAGTGACATTATTTCGGGATGGAGGGAGTATGTCTTACTTAAAATTTAATTCAGCCATTTGGCCATTTCCCTTTTACTTTTCTCCTTTTTCAACAATTTATAGATCCAATCCTATTCAAACCTGCCCCATTCATTCAAATTCATTTTTATGAAAGAACTCCTTATTTCAGAATTCTATAATAAGACAATTATTTACGTAAGTCGATGTGCTAGAAGAAAGATATCTAGTTATTTGAGCAAGTCTATTATTTGTGAATTACCAACTAGCATACTACACAGAATACTAGATCTCATGCCCATCAAATATGCTGCAAGAGCTAACATCTTATCAAAAAATTGGATGCAGTTACGGCCTACACAACCTAAAACATGTGTTTGATCCTTAGTTTTTTCAGTATGTATCGAATATTGAGGATTCTGCTTCGAGCATAATCCATAAAATTCTCATGAAACAAATTGGACCTATACTGGAATTTCATCTTATCTCCAAGACAGACACTTTAGCACAGTCAGATCCCCCCAATCTTGTTAGCCTTCAGTTAGAGCATTCAACAATTAACAGCTCTGTAGGATCAATAAACACTACTCTTATTATGCCAATACTTGAGACTTTGGAGTTGAAATATTGTGTTGATGTTAATCGTGTTGTGGTTTCTCCAAAGCTTGTAAACTTGTCAATCCTTACCACCTATACAGATAAATTTAAGTGTTTTTAAGTGAACCCAATAGTTGATTGGGTTAAGCACCTCTGCTTGGATATCCCTAAGGATGAAAAAAAATCTCTGCTTGTGAACTAACTATCTGGTCGGTATCTATACCAGATAGGCTTGATGTATCACTTAACTTTCAAAGCCTAAGAATTTGTGACTTCTAAGATTTCTGCTAAATGTATCAACTGTGCACTTTGCAGTGGAATTTTCTGAACCTTATATATATATCTGGTCAAGCGCATTCATTTCATATTCAAACTTAATATTGATATCAGAACTTCATTGGGATTTCTGCACATAATCAAGTATTAAGACGTCTTCATCATCTTCAACAAAGTATGAAATAATGAAATTCGACGGGGGGGTCTAGTTTTAGTTTGTGGAAGATTAGAATGAGATCGTCCTTGGTGTTGGAAGGGTTATGACAGGAAATTGAGGAGGCTTTTCCAAAAGAGTTGAAAGAATCAGACAAAGCAAACCTGAAGGAAAGGGCTTTGAGTGCGATCTTTATGAGCATTACAGATAGCATTATTCGAGAAATTACTGAAGAGAAATCTACAACGGCATGGAAGAAGTTAGAAGATCTGTAACCTAAGAAATCACTCACAAGCTGCCTCTACTTGAAAAATAGGTTGTACAATCTTCGTATGAACGAAGATCCACTGGTCAAAACTCATCTTGATAAGTTTAATTCAATTATAATTAACTTGAAGAACGTATATATCAAAATTGAAAGTGAGGATCAGGCCTTAATCGTGTAAAGTTCTTTACCACCGTCTTACGATACTTTTTGTTGATACAATTTAAGTAGTTTCTTATCGGACGTAAACTCCTAGATCTAGGTTAAATAAAACCCATTTCCCCTTTTGTTTCTTTTCTCATTTCACTTCCATTCTTCTCTTTTAGATCAAAAGGTAAATCTTGGTGAGAATTGGAAGAGGATGTTGAGTGTTGACTATACAATAGAAAGTTTTCAAGGTTTGGGGGATTAAGT